ATGTATTCTATCTCCGATTTTGTTCAATATCTGCTTAAACTTCGTAATGAGGAAAACGATGGAGAAAGTGAGGGCAGACATCAGTTGGTCTAATCGAGATAGATTCACGGAGTTGAATTTTGCTGACGATATAGCACTTCTAGCCGAAGATGAAAATGAACTCCAGCAGATTACTACTTGCCTCAGTAGCGAAGCGAATATGATTGGATTGCGCATTAGCGCCCAAAAATCAAAAGTCATGAAGATCGGCTTTGATCGAACGCAATTAAGCATCAATGTTGATGATATGATACTAGAGACCGTTGACAATTTCACTTACCTCGGAAGTACGGTCACTCACAATGGTGATGCCGAAACTGACGTACGCATTCGGATCGCGAAGGCTGCCGCCGTCTTCCGGCGACTTCAGCCAATATGGGCCAGTTCATCGATATCGCAGAAGATCAAAATGCGGTTGTACTACTCCATCGTGATTCCTACTGCACTATATGCAAGTGAAACATGGAAAAGTACTGCTAGCATTGTAAAGAGGATGAATGCCTTTCACCAGAGATGTCTACGCCGGATTATGAAAATACGCTACATGGATCACGTCACCAATGAGGAAGTTTTACGCCGTTGTGGCTCGAATTGCCTCCACGTGATTGTGGCACAGCGTAGGCTTCGACTGGCTGGCCATATTTTGCGCATGACACAACAACGAGTTCCAAGGGTGGCCATGAACTGGATACCTCCAGGCGCCAAGCGAGGAAGAGGCCGTCCCAGAAACACGTGGAGACGAACGTTCGAGAATGATTTCAAGATCATGAATGTTTCTAGGAATGAAGGAGAAATGATTGCACAAGAATCGGCAACAGTGGAAAGAATTCGTCGCCCGATGTGCTCTCCAGCACGGGAGGAACTAAGTCTAAGTAAGTAATCAGCGCTTTGCGGTGATAGCTCAGCTGCGGAACAACCTGAAAGTGGAAAGGAAAGCAAGAGAAATCTTTGGAACGCTGAAATTAAGGCCTTAACCTTCAATAGGGTCGGATGTGGTACGATGGCGAGAAAGGGCGGTCAAAGAAGACAAAATACGCGAGAGAGCACGTCGTTTGAGAGAGCACGCTGATCTCACCACCTCTCGCGGTGGGTGGGAAGCGTTGGAACGGGGGTCGATGGTTGCAGGCCCGTAAGGATTAGCGCCCTAACCGCGCAATTTTTGCGACGAAGCTGGAGTGATCTAGGTAGTACGGACCTTACAATTTCCCTCGTGGTATCCCTCCTACTAGTCGGGCTAATCCCGGGGTTTGCCTTTAAACCCGAGAAAATGGTGCTCTGTACATGGATTTGCTTTAGGCGTGTCTCATCAATGCTAACCTCTCCAACGCCAACGCTCGTTCTGTTAAGCGGCTCGAGCCAGGGAGCAGAGTGGAGGGGTAACAACGCCACGGGGACGACCATACTAGATCGCTGAGCATATCTTTCGTTACGAGTTGCGTACAACTTCGCACCCTTAAAAGGTCCGCCTGTCCTTCCATTGGCTAGGCTTCCCATTTTCAACCTTCGACCTTATCGTGGAATCCTCAAAGCGCGGCCTCTCATCTACAATGCACAATCTGACTCTAGTCGTGAGTCGTTGAATCTCATGATGAGCTCGCATTATGAGATTTAAACCACTTCATCCTCAAGACTTTGTGAAAGGCCCAATAGCCAACCACTCTCACGGGTTAAACCAGGAATGCCTGTGAGGTCGTGTACTGCTTTTTAAAATGATTTCTCGCTTGATATCGGGCCCCTGCATGGAACACAAAACTATGATTCGTTTTTCCTGCGCGACCGTATGATGCCAGAGGTTAGAAAAGCTACAGCGCTACACTTCTTGGAACCGATTTTCGGTAAAAACTTACCCATGTGGATTGCTGTTGGTCCTTGTGGCTAAAAGACTTCCGCCAATCAAAGGGTGAGAGAATAGATGAGGAAGCATACACTTCGTGTAGTATTATAGTCTTAGTGTTAGAGTACTATTAGTATTGCAGTATAGCGGTAGTATTTGGCGTTGAAAAGGCCGCACAGGAAAAATGAAGCATATTTCGATGTTCCATGCACGAGTACTAACATGAAGCAAGAAACAGTTCCAAAAAAGGAGTCATGACATGAAACACATTCCCGGCATACGGGTGGAAAGAATCTCTGGACGTCAGTCACCGGCGCCCCACTGAGGCACTTCATGAGTTTCTGCTATAGCGCGACTTTAGTGTAGAGACGGCCGCAAACGACGACTAGAGCGGGTCCAAAACATGGGCATGCTTCGAGGGCTGCTCACGCAACCGCATTGATCATGGCTGAGATAGAAACCATCTGTCAGTACGTGCCCGGATGAACACCACATTCCGCGTCACATTGTTCGCGTTGCTTTCCTTTGCTGGTCTCTTTCCTGGCGGTCCACTTCGCAGCCATACAATCTTTCTTCATGCAAAAAGGACCGCACCTCTCGATTGTGGAATGTGGCTTTAGGAGCAAATACAATGCTGTAGTCGGTATGGTTCTCCTCCTTGTCATTCAAAAAGAAGTGACCTACCAGGAGAAAGGGAGCAATACTCCAGCTGATTATGCTTGTAATTTAGCGTGAAATTGCATGTAAGCCAAAGATCTACTCACGGCTGCAAGGGGAAGCATGTGTTCTTTGAGAAATGAAGCATTGTTTGCAACCAAAACATCGATGTCCTTATCTAAATGTCACCATTATTAAAATCAGCCTCTCAACTGTACTCCACTGAGCCCATGGTTTTTCAGGGTAAAGCCATCCATAACTATGTATGTATTTCTCTGTCAGTGC